CCCTTCAGTTGGTTAAGCATTGATTCCATCTCTTCCATCATCGCTTTCGTCTCTGCCAGATTGTTCTTCATGAGACTTGTCTCTTCTTTTTCTTCCTTTACCTTGGCTTCCATCTTCTTGAGAGCGGTGTTTGCAAATAGTGAATTGATAGGCCAACCTCATCAAGATTATCGGGTCGCGCGCCTCTATTTCTCTCGCCATATACAAGTCTTCGCACGATTTTAAAGTAAAATGCCTGATGTTGACTACCTTTGTCGATAGAATGAAGATCAATCGTTCTGCATCGCTCTTCTCCACCTGGTTTTCCCCTCCATAAATACAACTCATTTGCGACACACCAACGGAGGCTCTCTACGAGTCGGTGCTCATGGTTTCGGAAAACAGGGTTTCTTATCAGATGTGGATCTGGGAAACACCGGTCCCTCAAATCCAAACTTCCATTCCCCTCGGAAGTGTCTTTCATTGAAGTTTTTTTTAGCAAAGAGAATGTTCAAAATTAAAAATTACTAATCACTCAAGATTCTCCTTACTTTTCGTTCTCCAAAAATTACTTTTAATGTTCAAAATTAAAAATTACTTAATTACAGGCCCCTCAAAGCCATGGCCTGTAATTAATTTGCAAGATGTTACTTAGATAGAACCACGTTTACCAGTTAGAAGGCGAAGCTGGGAGCCTAGATTTTGCTGGAGAAGGAGGCTGGTCTCCTGTCTCAGCTGTGCACACTCCGCTTTAATCTTTTCGAAGTGTTGTTTCATTTCCCTTTGTCCTTGTCTTAATATTGATTGTTCCTCGTTAAGGGCCTCCATCTCTGACTGCAGCTCCTCCATCTTCGCCTCCAACCTCTTACTTGCTCTTCGTTCCTGATTCCTCATTTGATATCTCTGTAGCAAAAGCTCTCTACTTCTCTCAAATCTCAATACATGGATCTTTGGGTGTGAAAAATGAAGCAGAGGCACTTGTATCTATATATTGAGTTGCTGGGCCAGAAATATTTGTCCGTTTGGATAATTGACAAAAGTCTCAGGTTTCGATCTCGAGCGATAAAACACGCGTCATCGTGCGGAATCGTTCGCCTCTGTGTCTGAACATTTCATTTCTCTTTTGGTTTGGATGTCGATCGATTCGATCCGTCTTTTCCTGTCGACATCATCGGCAGATCGGTGTTCGACTTCGTGCGATTGTGGGCCATTTCTTCCGATTAGTTTTCAACTTCAGATGGATGGCCACATCCATCTTTCCCTGCTTTCAGTGTAGTCTACACGATACAATGGATAACGGTGTACAATTATAAATTTATTTTTATGTTATATTATTATAATTAATAATATTTTGTATAAATTTATTTTTTTATATGATATTAGTAGATATCAATTTTAATTTTAAAAAAAATTAGAATTTATATTTATATTTACAAATTAAAGTTTTAATTCAAAATTTATAAATTTAATCTAAATGTGAATATTTAATAAGATAAAATTTTAAATTTTAAATTAAATTTTAA